TTTATTTTTTACATTTTATTTCCTTCTCATTCTCAACCTTTACTTCTTGCGATTCTATACGATTTTTAATATTATTTATTTTATTTTTATTTTTCATTAGCATGATTTTGTTAGTATTCTAGTTTTTAAATTAAAGTAGAATTCACTGTTGAATAAGGTTATATATTGACATTTCTATTTTCTTTTAAATGATATTTATGTATGATATGTTGAAATTGATATAAGAGTATTTTATTAAAAAAAATTATTTTAAATTTAGAACTTATGTTATTTTTAGTTTCATTTGTTTTGGTAAATTGACTTGATATTCACATTGCAAGTCATTTATTTTTTAGTTAGACTTGATAAAATTATCTTCAAATATTTTCATACTTTATGACATTTTATTCATGATATCAATCTCATTTTCAAAGAAGTATTTCAAGATGTTTATAGAAATCTTGTACTTTTACTTTTTATTATTAATTTAATTAAAATATATTAATTTGAAAAGAAAAATCAATTTTTTTTTTGATAATATTAGTTAAGAACATATGTTTGTTGATTAATATGTTTTTAATGGACAATATATATAAATATTTAATTTAATTTTTTTAGTAAAGACCCTTATCTGACTAATGTAGTTATTTAATTTTTATAATTAGTTTTGATTTTTAAAATTTAATATAATCTTATGATTGTGCATTCAAACACTATTACATTATGAAAAAAGTATGAAAAAATGATATGTAAACATAATTACTCAGTTTTGTAATTATTAACCTAGTAATTACACCAATTTCAATTATTTATAACTTTCCAAACGGACCTAGTAAAATTTTCTACAAATATATATTTTTATTTTTTGTAATTCATTTATTTCCTTCTCATTTTCAACTTTTACTTCTTGCAATTTTATGCAATTTTTCATAGTATTATTTCATCTTTATTTTTTTATAAAAAGTAAAGTTGAAGTCACTGTTGAATAAGGTTATACTAGGGGTGGCAGGGGGATCGGGCTATCACGCCCCGACCCGCGTCCCATCCGGCCCATCCCCTTACGTTTAGGGGGTTTAGGGGGTGGGGGATGAGGAGACCGGTCAAGGGCCGGTTCACCCTTGCGTCCCGGTTCGCGGAATCCCCACTTTTTTTCTTTTTGTTTAATTTTTTTTTAAAAAAAGTTACCGTTTTAATCCGTTGGGGAAGCGGCTAGTGCCTCCCCTTCCCCCCCCCCCCCCCCAAATGGATTTTTGCCACTTTTGTGTTCTCAAACATCCCTACCACCCCTCTACTTTTAAAACTTTTTTTTAAACCCTCAAGTTATAATAATTACACTTTAACCCATTTTTAATATTATAAATACACATATCCCCTACTATTTCTTACAAAATCATCTATTCTCATTTCTCTCATCTATTTTCCTATAACCTCTCAACTCTCAACTCTCAAGTGTCAATCTTAATTTCTATTCCATTTAATTTCTCATATTATTATAATTCATATATTTCAATTTTCAATTCAAATTTTTCATATTATATCAATATATATATAATTATATTATCTCATATTTGTTATCAAGTATTGGTTGGAGTTTCAAATTAGAAGTTACAACAAACCAAAAGCTTCAACAATCGATTTAACGTCTGCTATTAACGCAGACTTTTGGTACATACGTTTCATAATATTTATATTTTATTTTTCGTCTTTATTTTTGTGTTATTTATTATTTTATATTACACTTTATATATAATTAAGTATGAATTCTAGCAAAAAAATAGCGGTAAAGGAAAAGAGAAAGCACAAGATAACGAAGAAAGTAGACTTTTTAAATTATTTAATTTTGGTAAAAAAATTGTAAAGAAAAAAAGAGTAGTAAAAGTGGTGGTACTTCATCTAACTCAACGAGTAGAGTTAGATAAAACATAAATGATTCTACTTATGTTGATGATACTCCTTATGATATCGATTCAAATGTTCAACTCGATCACGAAAGTTTAGAACGACGTTACGGTAATATTAATCCTAATGTGATGAAAATTCAGGTGAAGAAGTATAAGCTGACTTGGGAGATGAGGAGTTAGAAGAAACACCTACTAGTCCGGTCACAAAAGTTCCAAATGAGACTATCAATTTATCGGAGCAAAATTTTGAACATTCACCCCTTATACCTCTAACAAGGGAGAAGGTGAAGTATCAACGCCCTAAAATTTCTATTGTGTGACAATTTATGACTTTCGATAAAGTAAATAGTGTTGCTATTTGTAATAAGTGTAAGCAACCTTTTAAACATAAACAAGGTGGGAGTCAAGGTGGAACGGGGGGATTAAATAGACATTTGTTATCTTGTGTGCCGATTCAATATAAAGAAGTTAAAGCATTAACCAATAGAAAAAAAGGAATTTCAATTAATGAATTTGATATTACCGGTAATGCATAGATAGGGGCTTCTAACATGGTTCAAGGAACGTTAGATCCTTTTAACCCCGCTGGTCAATAACACAACGTAAATATAATAAGGAATTAGATCGGGAAAATTTAGCTAAAATGGTTTCTGTTTTTGGTTTGCCTTATAGTTTTCCTTCAAATCCCGGTTTTATTGAATATATTCAACAAACTTATAATCCGGATTATAGAGGCTTTTCAAGAAATACTGTTAAATCTGATGTTTTTGAATTTCAAGATAAACATTGTCAATTTTTTCGTTGTATATTTAGCATATTAGATAGTAGAGTGTCTATAACTTCGGACATGGGTCGTAGTGTTAATGGAAATTATTATTTAACTATTACTGCACATTGGATTGATCATAATTGAAATTTGCAAAAAAGAATTATAAGTTATAAACTATGTATAGAGAAAAAAACTGGTGCACAATTAGCTTCAAATATTTTAAGTGTTTTAGATTATTACATGATTATAGATAAAATAATGTCTGTCGCATTAGATAATGCATCTAATAATACAAACGCTGCTAAAATGTTAAAAGTTAGATTATGTCCAATTGACAATAATGTTTTTCATGTTAGATGTGTCGCACATATATTAAATTTAGTTGTACAAGATGGTATTTCATTATTTGATTGTGGTAGCGTAAAAATTGAATATGCTGTTACCTGGATTTTTCATACAAACAATGCTGCTAGAATTAGGGAATTTAATGAGCATTGTTTACTATGTGAATTGTCACCTAGAAAAATTCCAAAACATATTAAAACAAGGTGAAATTCTCTTTACGAAATGCTTTCGGTTGCTTACAAATATAGAAAACCCATACAAATCATTTTTAATGCTCATAATGCTGACCCATTAGATAAAATTTGTGATAAAAATTGGGAAGAAACTAAAGAACTATTACAATTTTTAAGACTTTTTTATGATGCTACTACCATGTTTTCTGGAATTTACAATCCTACTATTTCATCCGTATTAATAAATATTTGTGCTCTTACAATTCAATTTTTTAAATATAAAAAAATAGATAAATTTAGAGTCGCAATTGAAGGTATGATTGAAAAAATTTAAATTTTTTTCCTATTCCTCAAGTTTTTTAACGGCTACTTTACTTCATCCGTCTTATAAATTACAAAGTGTGCAAGGCCTTGTTAACACTTTTTATGAAACTTTAGAAATTTTATCGAAAGAAATTCCAAATTATCAAACGTGTAAGTCTAGCATAAAATTAGAAGCAAAACTGTTGTATGAAAAATATAGAACTACGGAAAATTTTCAAGGAGAAGTTGGTCAAACTTCTAATGTTGAGATTGATTTGTCACTTACAACTTTAACTTACATGCGAGGTAATCTTGGTCTTAATTCTATTAACCGTAATGATTTTGAAGAATATCTTAATCAATCTTTAGAAATATTGAAAATCAACGATGGTAATAAAGATTTATTAGGATGGTGGAGTAGGCGAAGCGATGCATTTCCAACTTTGAGCAAAATAGTTCGTGATGTTCTAGCTATTCAAGTTGCATCGGAGACTGCTTTCAGTGTAGCAAGGTTTCAAATTGGTGATCATAGACTTTTATTGGCGGAAGACAGTTTGGAAACAACAGTTTTATTTAGAGACTGGTCCAATGTTGAAAGGAGGAATAATAATTTGCCAAAGTTAAGTAAAAAACAAGTAAGTTGGATCAAAACACAATTGAATGCAGTGATGATGAATTAGAGGCACAAGAATTTCTAGCAAGTTTGCCAACACCGGAGGATATCACCATCGATATGATGCGACAATTAGAATTAAATTTTAAAGGAGAAAACAAATATTTTTAGATTACATTCGAGAACTAATTGAAAGAGTACCCTTCCTAGAAGGTGGCTGTGTAAAATTAGTTACTCATCTAATATCTGTAACAAATATTAATTTTACGTATGAGAACTTATTGAAACAGAACCCTTCCTAGAAGGTGGCTGCATAGATTAGTTACGCCACTAATATTTGTTAATTGTAACTTCTAAGTTCTATTGAATAAATTTGAAGGTTTTAACTTTTGTTCAAGTTTTTTTATACAATTATTGTTTTGCATTTTAATTTTAATATATACAATTAAATATATACTAAAGGACTAAACTAACTAAAGTACTAAACTAACTTTAAAATACTTAATTTAAAGTTTACAATTTACATTACTTTAAAATATTTGAATTACAAATTTAAACTTCTCAAATTCGAAATTTATATGTGGATGATCCATTAGAGTTATCCAACAATTAATTGGATTCATGTTTTAGTGTTTCCAATGTGATAAGATTTCAAGGTGATATTAATCTTGATGATAACTATGTATAATTTCAAGGTGATCTTTGACTATGATATCTCAACACTATAAATAGAGATATCATTCACCATTGTATGACACACTTGAATAAGAAAATTCTCTCCTCTATCTTATACTTCTTGTCCTTTTCTTATATTCTGAGCTTTCTTTACAACAGGTTATCAGCACGATGTTGCTACTTGCAAAGGTATTATATAAATATTTTTATTTAATTCACATATTCTCTCATAATTTTTCATTATGTCGAATTTATCCAAACTTGAGTTTATGGCATTAGATATTTCTGGAAAGAATTATCTTTTACGGATACTCGATGCTGAGATTCACTTGGCTGCTAAAGGTCTTGATGCCACTATTACTCAGGGAAATGAAGCATCGAGTCAAGATAAGGCAAATGCTATGATTTTCCTTTGTCACCATCTTGATGAGGGACTGAAGATTGAATATCTGATGGTAAAAGATCCACTTGAATTGTGGACTGATTTAAAGGGGAGATATGACCACCTAAAGGCAACAGTGTTGCCAAGAGCTCATTATGAGTGGATGCATTTACGGTTTCAAGATTTTAAGACCGTAATTGTATACAACTCTGTTGTTTTCAGGATAACCTCCCAGTTAAAATTATGTGGGGAGACTATAAAAGATGAGGACATGTTGGAAAAGACACTTACTACTTTCCATGTCTCAAATGTGATATTGCAGCAGCAATATCGTGAAAAGAGTTTTCAGAAATATTCTGAACTAATCTCATGTCTTTTGGTGGTTGAGCAACATAATGCTCTTTTAATGAAAAATCATGAAGCTCGTCTTACTGGAGCTGCTTCATTACCGGAGGCAATTATGGTGGAAGCACGTGATCAATCTGAAGTAAAAAGAGATGATCATCGGGGATATAATAATGCACGAGGACGTGGAAAATATAAAATATGATACACTAATCGTCAAGGTGGTGGTCATAATAAAAGGTAGAACAATTTGAGTTCTCAAAATAACCCTTCAAAAAGTAATTGTCGTCATTGTGGCATGAAAGTCCATTGGAAGAATGAATGTCGCACACATGAGCATTTTGTAAGGCTCTATCAAAATTCCTTTAATAAGAAAGGAAATAAAACTGGTGCTTCCTCTTCCAATGCTCGAGCTAAGTCACATATGACTCTTAAAGATAATTATAAGCCGGGAACATCTCAGAAATATGATAAGGATGTTAAGCAAATTTGACTTTAAAGGATGATGTTTTTTATGGCCTTGGTGACATTACTCATATGGAAGTTGATGACTTCTTTGGAGATCGAAACTGATGTTTGATCTTTTAGCTGGGGAATGAAGTCTGTTAATATTTTACATAATATTTTACTTATGTATTTTTAATTATTATGTTATTCATGTTGAAGTATTTAAATTTCCGTTGTTAATTTTGTTTCTTCCTTCTTTTAATGTATTTTATTTTAATAAAAATTAATAGAAATCCCAGTTGTCAGTTGGATTCAAGATGAGTAATGGAGATGTATGCCATCTTGATAGTGCTACAACGCATACAATATTAAAAGAAAAGAAATACTTTTTTAATTTGGTTATGAAAATGGCATATGTTAACACAATACTAGGTACTACAAAATTAATTGAGGGCTCTGGAAGAGCGACCTTATTACTACCTGGAGGAACAATATTAAGCATTGATAATGCATTATATTGTAGTAAGTTGATACACTCAAACTTACTTCTCAAATAAGAAGTAAAGCGGTCGTGTCAAGTAAATAACCCAACTAGTGAGGTTGGAACCGTTCCCACGAGGAAAATAGTCTAGACTTAACTTCAATGTGTTATTACTTTTGTTCAGTCAATTACTTCCTTGGAAAGTAAAACAATAAAAGGGGGGTTTCTATTTCTAAATGAATGAAAATAACTACCTAAGTTGAAAGAGACACTTAACAGCTTTGAATGTTGGATTTTAATCAATTAATCAAAGTAACTAGGGTTTACGTGTTCCTCACAGGTTCATAACTTGATAATTCTAACTATAACAATTATTTCCTAGTATCTTGCATGCAAAGTAATAAGTTATGTATTTCTAAATCCTTGGTCCGGCGTTTAGAAAATCTCACTCCGTACCTTTGTCCGGCTACGTGTGTTGCTTTCCTAACCCTTATCTTTACCTCATATTAAGCATCGTATTTGATATTTGACTAAGTTATTACCTCGTACCAATAAATACTAGCCTATTAGATAGTATATACTAAATCTATGTTGATAATTCTTTTCCTATTATCTATCTCCTTGGTCCGGCAAGTAGCATTAAGGAGAGTTCTAACGTTGTCCATCCGTTAAAAAGACTTCTAAGCAAAAGAATTATTAATACATGCAAGACACTATTCTAGAATCGTTATTTTAGTTAGGTTTTATCTCATTATTTGCCTATGGTTCCCACCTAGTTATGGAGTTTAGTTACTCATAGTCATAATCACAATATTCAAATATATTAAATAAGAATTCATGTACTTACTTCAATGAGAAAAAGTAAAATCCGAAAGTTTGCTTGATTAATCACCAATAATCACTTGCAAGAATCTCAAAATAATTAACAATCTTACATAAAGTCTAATGATTCTCAAAAGTCTAACAATACAGTGTCTACTAATATGATGTCTAACAATACGGATTCTAGCAATGATCCCGAGTCTAACCCCAAAAACGAGGTTTTTCAAACTATTTATAGAAAATAAAAACCTAATTAAACAAGGACTCTATTTGCTGGAAATCTTCCAAAACGCAGCTGGGTCGACAGACCTCGCGACGGATCGTCATGGTCTCGACGGACCGTCATAGACTCCGTCGTCCCATACTTGTGCAAATTCTTCTGCTACTCCCTTCATTACCCTCGACTGCAAGTATGACGGACCGTCATAGGCACAACGGTCCGTCGAGGGTCTTCGTTCCAAAACACTTCAACTCTTGGAATATGGGTACTAGGATTACTTCTCTGAACTTCATGACGAACCTGCAGGACGGACCGTCATAGACACGACGGACCGTCACAAGCTTCATAACCCCACACATGGTCAGACTTCCACATCTTCCTTCAGCAGCTGCACTACGCTGCCACCTACGGACCATCACAAACACGACGGACCATCACAAGCTCCGTAGATGGTCTCTTCTGCATTTCTTCGCTCAAAATCTCCGCATTCATCTTTGAACAGATTTCCTGCAAAATAAAGAGAAAATTATATAAACATTAGCACAAAAAGGCTTTTGGACACACTAAACTTAAGGAAAAAGTATTAATAATACCGTGAAACCACAATATATCAACACTCTCAACTTAAATTCGTTGTTTGTGCTTAAGCGACACACTATGACTCAATACAAAATCTTTGTACAATAGTATCCATGTTTTATCCTTTGCAATCATTTGGCTATCAATCCCGATTAATCTCATCAAATCTATGCATACTATCACTATTAGGCTTGAATTATGTGGGATCAGATCATGACACAGACTCACCATGCACTAACACCTATCCTCTTCAATTTCTCACCGAGGTGCTAACAATTTCGGTATTGCAATTAGTGTCCTCACTTTAAAACAAAATCCTCATTTTTCACACAATGATTTCAGTTTGAGCATAAGAATTACTTTTCAACACTCGCTCTCAGAACAAAGTCACACTCATTCATACCTATTGCCATAAGCTTGCCCTTATTTTCACTGTCTATAGTTTGCTATACAACCCTTAGGATCACGATAGGACTTTCTTAGCTTGTAACATAGGCTCAGGGTCAGGTAGGGTATATTTAGGTATACTTTAGTGACATTTTGCCCTCACTTGACATATCGGCTAAACCTTCCACTTTCTATCATTTTATCTCGCCCAATTTCTCATATTCTTTCACCTTGCTATTTTCTCTTCTTTCTTCATTCGTGTTAGTGACTCTCTTCTTTTCTTGCTTGTATTTCTTGAGTCACTTTGCTTTTCTTTCAACTAATTCTTGAGTCACTTTACTTTTGTTCTTTCTCTCTCTTTGTTCTTTCAACCCCACTTTCCAGAGCATTCCTCATAATAGCCACCCTCAACTCATGGCTTTTCCATGAGTCAAGGTACACAATACCCAAAGTTGGGTCAGGGCCATAACGAAGGTTGTTTACTGCATTAGCCACCCTCAACTTATGGAGAGACCAGGGCCAACACATTATTCCCAGAAAAGATCAGTTGGGGTGAAAAAGAAAGGTCTAATTTAAGCTCAGATCATTTCGATCAAACAAGGATAAATTTCATTTGGTTTTCTTTTATTTAGGCTAAAAATGGGCTATATTGAATAAGGGCCTATGATCATTTCTTAATTGTCTATTATAACTTACTTTTAGCAGGACTAACCAGGCAAGTTCTAGCTCAATACAAATAGTGGACTATTCAAATCTTCCTCACACTCACTTGACATCTCATCACTCTACCAGATTATTAGACACCTAGTTCGAATTTCAGACTTAGGGTAATGCAATGGTATACCTCTATCTCATGCTTAGAACCACTCATTTATCAGTTACTATGCCTAGTCGTGCATCATTTTCCAATTTATAAGGATATCATTTTAACCATCATGCTCTAGAATTAAACTATGTACAAAAGATATAGACATACCGGTTCAACAGAAAAAGTAATCATTCTTTTGGGAAAAAAGAACACAGGCAAGAAAACCCCAAAAGAGGATTGTGAATTGGGCTACTCAGACTTCACCCTAACACTCACTTTCCATTTACCCTACCCCAACAAAAAAAACATGCAATTGTCCCCAATCCATAAAAATTTAAATACTAGAGTGGTAGGTGAAGCAAACCTGTGGCGCAAAGCGCCGTCGATCAGCAAGTTGGTGGGTCCGGTTCCCCGGAACCCACATCCTCTACAATCTGGACACCCTCAGTGGTGTCCTCAGCAAAAAATGCACTATCAGTAGTGCCTCCTGCTATCTCCACAGTTCGGGAGGTAGACGCCCCAGCCGCTAACTCTGATGCTCTCATCTGGTGCGCCGTCTCCTCCTCCTTTTTCCGTGCTCGAGCCTCGTCCTCTGCTCGACCACTACGCCTCTTGGAATGCTCTCGAGGGGGAGGTGGTGGAATCTCTTAAGTAGCGAATAGGGCCGCCAACACTGTGTCTTCAGCAGGCTCGACAAAAGGGGCCTCAGACTCTAGCACCCTAGCCTTTAAGATCGTGTCAATATCTGTGCGAAGGCTGTCGACTGTAGCCTGAAGAGTCGACACATCCACTGGAGATGTTGGTCGGGTTAGCACCCTCAACTCAAAGGCGTCCAAGTGCTGGTGAACCTCAGCGATCTTTCGCTCTGTATACTGGACCATTTTCCGCACTAGGCGCTCTTCTGACTCAGTAATAGACTTCTGCATCCACGACTGGATATGATGCAGAAGTGTAGCCATTTGCGCCTCTAATTTTTGGACCCTAGCAAGCGAGACCAGCGCCGGTAGAGGGGTTGTGCGAGAGAAGATCGGGGCAGTGCTACTACCCGGGATAGACTCGACCGGGGTAGTGTCAGTGGACGCCGCCTGTGTAGCCGTGCGGGCCTGGGCTACCGTATCAGCAAGCATCAGCAAGTGGGGGCAGTTCTGGACGGGGCCCTCTGCGTGAAGCCAACTCATTGGCCTCATCTCTGATGAGGCCGACGTCAACAGTGCCCTGCGGGGTCTTGAGCTGATCTACGTGCCATATAGGCACACCTGCGGACCTGCAGAGAGAAAAGATCATGAACGGGAAAGGGTAAGTAGTAGTGACCTTGAAAGCCCTTTCGTGCATGACTCCCTGTAGAAGCCACGTGAAATCCACCTCGAACCCGGCAATCATCGCCGCCATCAACACTGCTCGATCCCATGTAACGATATTATCAGTGGCTGTGGGGGAAAGGCAGTGGCGGACAATCAGCCA